GGGCATTTCGGGCGATGACAACATGGTGGCTCTGGTTTTACCATGAATTTCGAAGAGATTTTGCAAAAAGAGCCTGCATTTAGCAGTCATTATAAGAAGTGGAAAGAGTAAAAAATCTGGGAGAGTGAATATTGGCATCTTTAATTTTTTTTTTTATTATTCCAGTTTTTTTCGTCTATGAGTGAATCGAACTTTCCCCGATGAAAATTTTCACGAGAGCCTTCGAGGCCCTCACTCGCTGCTTGCTAGAACTTGCTTGCTTCTCCCAGGTCCCAGTACTTCTTGCAGTACTTGCTCTGATCCTAAATTAGTAAAGAGGGAGAAAAAAAAATCACCCAATTGTGTGAAAATGGGAGTCTGCAACTGCGACATCGGTCTCATGCCTCGATTCCGTCGCATGGGAGTGGAAAGATTTGCACATCGACACGTGCCTATCGTCGTTCCCGAACTTTCAGACGCGAGGGAAAACGCGTAAGTTAATGAGTTATCCGAATCCCGATTTCTCGCGAAGTGTACCGACCGATGCACAGAATCCGGAGGAATGCGATCGGGGGGGTTCATTCCGTGATTTCCCCCGAGACGCCATTTACTCGTACGAGGAGCCCCGACACCTCTTTCCATTCCCAAACGGGCATCCATCAGCATCAACCGCTTCCAGATTTATCGACGGGGAGGAGAGGAATTCCGGGAACATTTTCGCCCACGTGGGTGACTTCGCACGGTTCCGCGAACACGACGCGAGAGGAACACCTCGCAGCTTCCATCCATTACGATGAGCAAGATTCCGTGATCACGACGTGAGGTGAACCTCGACGACATCGGAGGGACGAGGGTCCTCGAACGACAAGAGCACCGGATGGCGCGACTGAGAGTTGTCGTGTGGGCAGAGCGGAGAGGGGAAGGAAGAGGGAGGGATGGAAAGAAAAAAGGAAAAGATGAGGGCATTCTTTCCTTTTTTTTTTCTCTCTCCCTAGAAAAATCATCCATTATTTTGTGCTTTGTGTCATCTTGTCTATTGTGATCCCATCTTGTGTCTCTCTCTCCTTCCCATCCCAACTTCGTTTTCAAACTTGGTTATATTGACGAAACCCCCCGGCGTCGCCATGGCAACGCATCATCCCGTCTGGTCCCCCCCAACAAAAAAATTTCCCAACACCCCTGACCCGTACAGCGACGAACCGAACCGCCCGGGAAGCAAAGACAGCGGCCGCGCATCGACGCATCCCGGGTGCGACACGTCCCAGGCTGCACGGACCCCAGCGACACCTCGTGAGGACATCCAGAACTCCAGCATCACGTACTCGGACGAAGCAGGAAGCACAAGGTGCCGTACTCGCTAAGTTGGAGTGGCAAGGGAAATGACATGGGGAATCATCACTTGGTTCGTTTCCCAGGCCCTTCTTAGCCTCCCTCTCTCTCTAACTCTCTTTCTCTCTCTCTCTCTCTCTCTCTCCTTCTCTCATCCAATATTCATTGATAGAGCCCAATCAGCGTCTAATTCCCGGACCCAACTCTGCATAGATCCCTACTCCTCTGGAATTCTCTTCCATGATTTCCCCCGAGGAATAAATATTACCCCCCCCCCCCTCCTTCCCTCCTTCTATTATGCGTATCGCCTTAGGACGATGTTCTATACCTTTTCTCCCTTTCCTCGTTTATCGCCTGGTAACTTCTTTTTATATTAAATTTGCATAAAGTGTATTTTTCGAACCGATCAGTCTACCGCATCCCTTATGAATTTTTTTTTTTTTGCTGCTGAAGTGCTGGTGCAAAATCCGCGGGTTTGCGAAGATGGGATCTAAAAATACGCCCATCGTTAAGAAGAAACATGACATTAAGAGGGAAAGCCTCATGGCCGATTTTTTAAATATATTTTCCCCCACGGTACAGAGGCGTTAACGAGATTCACAGTAACAAAAAAAAAGAAAAAAGTATAATTTGTCGCTCTGTTGCACCGAAGACAAACATATCCAAATCCACCGAAGTCGAAAATATTTTCCTGCCTCCTTGGCTCAGTCAACAACGACAGTCGGGAAACCAGAGAGTCACTCTGAGAACTGGTGTTCCACCCCGGAAGCCTGCCTCCACAACATTTCGGACGATGAAAAGAGGAATTGGAAATGCTAAATCCGGCATTTAATCCACCTTCTGTCTACTAGCAAATGCAGCATGGAGTGAAAGAAACTCTCCGTCCAAAGTTCCAGCCGCGGTCGATGTCTCAAATGCACTTCTATTCACTACAGTGATTTTCGATTGATTTTAGTCCCCCTGCCCCTTTCTGAGTGGTACCACATGCCATGCAACTTAAGCGACATCTGCTTTCTCAAAATAACTGACGCTGGCTTAAATCCTGGCTAAATCAGCGACTTTTGCGGGAGTTAAGTAGTCCCCGCTTCCACTAAAATATGGGTTGGAGGGGGGGGGGCGTGAAATCAATCGAAAATCACTCATGGAGACGATGGCGGTTATGATATAAATAACATATCTTTCAATTGTTCTGATAAATCAGAGAAGACTACAGCAGATGTTGCAGACTCGTTTGTGACAATTTGGCGATGAAGAAACCCGCCACGAAACGCTGTCGTAAACACGACTTGTTTGCAGCCAGACTGACTCAAAGGCAGCCAGACTGACTCGAAGGCGGCCAGACTGACTCGAAGGCACTGCGCCGTTTTCCAATCATGGTTAGTGCCATCATCCACTCTTGGTCGAGCTGTCCACGACTTTTCTTTTTTTTTTCTTTCTTTTTTTTTTGTCGCCGTGAGAGTCTCGTCCGTTCGCAAGGTGATGAGATGATGGGATTGACGATCACAAAGCAGAACATCGTGGCCTTAAAAATAAATTGAAGCTAAAAACCTCTCGAGAAAGAAAGCAAGAACCGTGCACTGTCGAAACGAAATAAAGTATGAAACAAATAAAAAATGAAGTAAACAAAATAAAGGAGTTTTCGAGAAGATCGAGAATCACGCCTTGCCAAGCCTTCCTCGACAACCCGCTTCAATTTTTCTTCGCGATGCCAGAAACTCTTCATTCCTGGATTCATCTCGATGAATATTATGTGGTCTTGGGCAGTTCTATTACCATAATGCAACCTAAGTCCTATGCAACGGCAAGAATTGCAAAATGAACTCCAAACCCTGAAACCGCGCCGTGACATTTTTATCATGCTATGATGCCAGAATTTAGGTTTTGCAGTAGAAATTCTTCGATACGCTGGCAATAGATTTGGAATTCTGTTTTAAACTCCCCCACCCAAAAAAAAAATAAATAAATAAATAAAATAAAATAATAATAATAATAAATAAATAATTATAATAATATTATTAATAAATAAGGTAAATAAAATAAAATAATAATGCTGTATTAACATGTATTAGCAGAACCCACTTGCCACCCGGCTCCAAGTTTTATTTGCCAAAATGGAATACCAGAAAGGGACTTGACAAATATGAAATAAAAGCCATACGCTTGGTCTCTGTTCATATTTAATGTCAGTTTCAGTTTCCATTTTCAGTTGACCCCTGATGCCCTTCATCTTGCAGTTCAAGATCGTTTGAAAATCACAATCGCTGCATTCGGATTTGATTTTCAGTACTTCATGCCTTCGCACATTATTTTTTATCATAAAGCCTTAAATATTTTTTTTCTTCAAATTTTTGGTACATGATTCCACTTCCACGTTCCCACAATCTTATTATATTTCATTATATTTCGATTTTGGACTTCCGGTTTCCCGTATATTTTTGGTCCTTGAGCTTGCGAACTAGACCGCCTCGAACCGAATTTTTCCTCACAGGGCTTTGCACTCGACCGGTCAAAGCGACAAAGGTCCACGAGCCTCTAAAGGATTACAACCAGTGAGAGATCCTTTCGCATTAAAGGACATTTTCGCGCAAGCACTTCATAGAGAACTTCCTAGAATTTTGATTGTGAGAAGAAAACGTTGCTAAAAGATCACAGATTGCAGGAGAAAGAAACACGTCAAGTACTAGATCAGTACTCGCAGTAGTACTTGCAACCTATTGCGAAAAAATTGGCAGAGTGAAAAAAGTGAAAGTCCTTCGGTGTCTCTTTTCGAAGTCGTTCCAGTTTTCGTATTCAAACCTGCCAACTGATTTTGCAATGGGAAGTACTCTTTAATATTTTCAGCACTCGTTCAGTCTGACATGCCCTCGGAATGCAGCCGAATGCCCCTTGAGCTGAAAGTAACTGGTACATATTCAGTACTTAATTTTCTCGGGTTAATTCCTTCTCCTCTGAAAATAATTTTCAGTACTACCAGATCTAGGTTGGTACGGTACCATTAACGCTGCTCTCTTGGCGAGGTAAGTCTACTCAATTTCATTAATTTCATATTAATATTATATCAACATTATTTAATGTCTATCAATCTTTGCTCACGGGCAGCCAGTCGACTTTTATATTTTTAGGTGTTAAAACTTTTCCATCCCCATTCGGTCCAAAACGCCCCCGAGACACCATCCCAATCGCAGGACTGCCAGTACTGGATGAGTCCTTGCGACCCCCGACCGAAGCCCAGTCGAGACCGGACGAGTCCATCGTCGCCTAAGTTCCCGAAATCGGTTCCATTCAAAATTCGTGTCCATTCTTACCTCATTAGTCCGACTCGATTCGGTAATTTTTTAAGTACCGATTTTATTCTTTTTTTTATCTTCTGCGTGAGCGTAAACGAGCTCTGCGAAGGTGGGAAGCTGTATGGGAAAGTCTAATTTTCCACTACGAACCTTACGATGCTTTTAGTATGCCCTGTGCACACGATCCTATTATTATTAGGCACCATCGCGCCTAATAAGTGGACCGTGTGCACAGAGCATAGGGTAATTCGGGAAAATACGACCACATTTAGAATAAATCTGTCTGTAGTTCGGAATATAATACCTGCTAATGATAATGTAAAAAGCGGTGATGGCCCGTGGTATCGTCTGTCCCCGGAACAGATTTTCTCACAAATCAAAATGTGTGAGCAAATTTCTTTTTTTTTACCGTTGCCTGATGAATGGGATCGACGAGGAGGCGGCGAAGTTGACAGAACATCTGTCGTTGGTCGGGGTGAGCAGGAAAACCATGAAGGATCTCTGTCCTGCCGTCACCTTTAATGAGAAAGGAGGGAAAGGAGTTATTTTTAAAAGATTTCCCCTTTTTTCATCTCGAAAAAATGGGAGCAGGAAGTACTTGCACGCGTCTCCTAAGGATATTACCTCCGAATAAAAAATGAATCAGCTAATTAAAAGCTTACGCGAGTCCTTCAGAGCAAATAAGGCCTCTTGAACAACATCCGAGATACGAATACCTTCCATCTTTAATTTTGAAGGTAGAAGAAATTCTTTCTATGAAACAGCCTTCGTCGTATCGAAAGATTTTCACAAATCTTTCTTTCCTCGCCTCATCCTAAGGACACGTGAGCTCGGCCGTCATATCGAACAGTCATCGCGCAGAGTTCGATACTCCTGTACGATCCTCGCGTTACCAAGCGGTACCGCAAGGCTACTGGTACTATGTGGCTGGTACTATCTGGACTTGCACCGACTCCGCCACTGACACCAATGACAATTCTACGACCGATCCCGAAAATAGAACTGCCATCGATGACGGCTTCCGCCGCCGTCTCCAAGCGTGCATCCGCCTGCCGCTGCATCCACCTGCCGCTCTTGCTTTCTCGAGTTTCGGCACTCGGGCCTTCGTCGCAAATCATCGATTTAGGTCTCGCCGAGATATAGGTTCGCCGTTCATCGAGAGTCGGTGAACGGTTTCTTCGTGCGTTCGCGTCTGACCTGTTGACCTGTACCGTGTACCTGCTACGAGGCGACCGGTTCAGATTTTATCGATTGGATTTCATCATCGAGACATGGCAACACTGCTTTAGCAAGAAATCCCTCCCCGAAATGCGTGTCTCGGTCCGGAAGCTCGATAATCATATTCTATTATCGCTATGAGGTGCAGTAAAGAAATAAAGCTAACTACCTCTTCGTGCTCCAAAGAGCAAAATGAACAATGAGGCTTTTAATCTTAATAAGCCACGCTGACTCCATATATTCTGGAAATTTCACACAGCGAACCTCGAACGATGCTTGAGGCGCTGACCAAGTTTCCCCAAAGTGTTTTCAACTCGATCGGGAAGTTTCCCACCCTCTTCGTGTTCGGTGCCACGGATGAAACGAAACGATTCTTCGTATTTCATCAATGGTCGCATTCACCCTCGGCCAGGTCCTCGATCCAGGATCGTGCCATCGAGTGCCACGGGCCACTCCCTCCTCTCCGCCCGAGTCCGTTCGCTCATATACCGTATAGAGGTTGGCCTTTCACAGTCGCATTTCTGCTTGAGATTTGCACTAGATCTGGTCCAAAAGGGAAGATACTGCATCTGCTGCTGGCAGCAATGGCCACACCAAAAATCGGGGATAAACTCTTAAAACAAACGCCTGCACACACACCCCCCGATGCACGTTTGGTTAGTGCGCATAAAATTATGCCCCTTTTTTTTTTCGGAGGAGAGCTGGACGGCAGCTGTTTGCTATAGGGGCGCGGCTTGCGACAGGAAGAAAAAGTGAGACGGCATTTACGATCGAGCCAGAACGTTTGTCTCTCCTTTTTCTGTCTGCTTGCGTCTGTTTCGCGATAACTAAGTAATACTGCACGAACTACCGCGTCCATGCGAACACAAATAAGCAAGATATAGCCCGAATATTTTTCCAACGAGCACATACTTCGGCAGCATCGAGCCGAGGGGGGGTGGAGGAGATGTGCGTTGAAAATGGATTTTCGATAACGATTCAACCAAACAGTTGAATGACCGTTTCCTACCTTGGCCTTTCGTTCACAACCTTCTACTCTCCTTCCGCCACTCCAAGCCCCTCCACTTCATGTTTTCTAGTCATTCATGCTAAAAAAAATTATAATAAAAAACAAACGGATATAGAATGAGTAGTGGTCATCGCGTTTCAAAGTACAATTGCAATTTTGGCCAATGAGGCAATAAAATGAAACCCCTCTGTAGTGAACGACTGCTACCCGGGGTTCACCAAGCTTATCTTTATGTTCTAAGGAATTATGACCGTGTAAATCCGGCCTCGAGGCGACCGCCTCGCCAACCATCGAACGTGTGTGTGTGTGTGTAGTAGGGAGGGGGGCAGTGGCTGCTCGTGATATTCAGCAGAAGTGGATCGTCAATGGGAGCAGGACAGGCCCGGGCCCACCCTACCTCCATTGACGATCCACTTCTGCTGAATATCATAACCCGCCCGGAGGGAAGGGAATCTCCCCGAGTCTCTCCCCCTTCTCAGCCAGAAGTGGCGTCAGACATCTCGGTCGGAATCGAGGTGAAAACATAGTCCAAGGGCGAAGGGGCAAAGGAGAACAGGAGGAAGCGAACCCAAAGAAACTAGAGGCCTGAAAGCGATTTCCACGACGCAGGGACGATGGATTTGCGGTGCCTACAATACGTGTTTGCGATCGCTAGTGCCATAACCGTCGGCGTTACGTTTGTAATATCGACTCGTGGCCATGGTGCTAATGGAAGGGATACGTACTTCTACGATGATAAACCATAACATTCGCGAAGGTTGGTGATGGCTCGACACATCTCGTCGTGTTACCGGAGCAGATGACAATTAAGGACAGCAACGCCATCTTGGCAGCTTTGCTTCCATGAATCCGCATCGAGTGTTGCGTTTCGAGGTGGATCCACTCGTCGCCATCGCATGCGAACGATGAGGCTTCCAAAATCTCTTGAATTCGAACATCCATCGATAGTCTTCCTAATATCGTAGTTTGAACTCTTGATTACGTACGACCATTATTGAGAATTCGGTGAAGTGGGTAATAAGAATCGGCTGCAGTTCTGAAGAATTTTTTTTTCGTATGAGTTGTGTTTCACCCCCCCCC